CAACTATGACGTTGCGCAAGAATTTCAAGATTATTCTGACAGGGTTTGTTGAATATAGTGAAGACAGTAGTGAATACCTTGCTGATAATGCTAGTGCATAACTCATAGATAGTTTGAAATTGTGCATCCTGACTCAATTGTAACGACAGAGCGAAGGATAAATCAAGTCAGGCAGAATTGGCGAGCAAAAGCATCACTAAAATAACTCAGACTAACGATAATATTAGGTTGGCGCGAAAGTTCTTGCGTATTCCGAACGAATTTACATAACTTTCTGATTACTATACTTAAATCATAATTCGGTATCCTAAAAATAGTAGAAGGCTTCCACTTTATATTCAATGTTCAAGCATAACATTCCAAAAGTTTGCCATCGAGAAAAAGCTTTCAAAAATTGCATTTCAAGTTTTGTGATTTCGAGTTCGCTGCCAGGATTTCTAGAGGGCTGCCAGCTATCCCAAAAAATCTGTAGAAACTTCTTACATAGCAAAACTCTATATGTTACTTTTGCATGTTTCAACTTCTTATGGAGATGCATGAACAGAATTGTGAAAATTATCACTTCACATAAATCCCCTTATCGCTTCAGTCTTTTCACAGAGACACAGTATGAAACTAGAAATTAGACATAATGCCTATTCAGAACACAGTGGCTTTTGGGGCGTCGGAAAGTGTTTTCGCCGATAAAGTGCAGTAACGAGGGAGTTTATTTTCTGAAATGACATTTTCAACACATTTTTTGCTTTTGTGTTACCGTACAAATTTGAGCTGTACGTAATTTTTGAAGAATTTTTGGGCCAGCAGGGGCCCTTCACAATTTTGTGATATCATTCTAGATGGCTAACTTATAGAATGTTACGCTTGAACATAATCTGTTATGGAGCGCAGGCCTTCTACTATTTTTAGGATGCCGATTTATGAATTTATTTAGTATTCGAAAGTTATATAGATTCATTCGATACGCAAGAACTTCGCGCCAACCTAATATTATTCGATCAAGTGCTGCTGTGTTTTATGTGAGAAGGGAGAGAAAATCTTATTTATGGAAATTATAAGTGATTAAGGTAGAGTCATCGATGCTAGTATATGTAATATGTCCTTTTCTAGATTCTATATAAATGATCAGTACTATCATTATAATAATCCATGTTCATAACATCATGATAATATTTCTTCTGCAATTCCAAAACCATTTCACGATAGATATGCATAGCTTCTGACACACTCTATGACTTGTCATCCAGATTTCCCATTCCTTTGGAGTTCAAAAATGAGTTCAAGGAATTTACACTCGTGTAGGGGAGAGAACGAAAAGAATTGATGGTTGTTTTGCTTTTATTCGCAATCGCACCGGAGTTTTTTTACAACTGCTTTTCGAGTTCCTCGGTATCTGCAGTTTTTTAAATTCAGCAGGGATCATATGACATTTTAAGCTAATCAGCCTTATCTAAAGCGCATCTTCCAGGATTGTGGGGACCCTCTTCCTCAACCAATGTACGTCACCATATGCGTATCAACGCAGCGGCTTCGTGTCCTAACTGATAAGTTGCCGTTCTCGCCCACCGCAACGTTGCCGATCTCTTATCGAAATCCGGGCCCCTCTCGCACCACGCTGCTCTTCCGACCACTACTACGCCCAGCTTAGGCAATTTCCTTCAAAGGATTAGCGCGTACTTAGCGCTTATCACTGCACACAGCGCTACTGTACAAAGAGCTGACTTTCTACTGAGCATGTCTCCACTGTCGGAACCAAATTTAACTCTCTTTTATTTCCTCCTTCGCTGTGATGCTATGTATGTCAGTTGCTACTAATGTAGAAAAGCCTCACATTCTACTAGGCTGGCTAGAAATTGATTTGTGAAAAAATTTGTTCATCTCCCTTCTTTAAGCCTTTTCCATCTCCCTTCTTTAAGCCTTTTCTTCATCAAAAAAGTTTGCTAAGACAAAGGTTCCGCAACAGTCTTTCCAGAGATACCAAAAACCATACAAATTTTTATCTGTAACACTTCTAAGAGATATCCAAGCGATCGAGATCATTTTTTAGTCGCAATACAAACAAAAAAAATTGTCCGATGTGAAATGCTTGTCAATAAAGGTTCGCTATAATAATGATCGAAAATTTATATATTCATTCGAAGTTCTTTCCCGTCTTATGAACTGTTTTAGCTCATACATTTTCAAATTGAAATTTTGCTGAATTGCAGCAAAATTTCAATTTGAAAATGCACTCCACAATTTGACTCCAGACTTTGAGGGAACTTCGTTTAGTAACTATTTAACTGAATTAAAACAGTTCACAGGACGAAAATAGAGCTTCGAATGAAAATACATATTGTCTATCATTAATATAGCGAACCCTTATTGACAAATATTTCATATCGGATAATATTTTGCTATAATGTTCAAATTCTTTGTACTGTTCGAATTCCTTGATTCCGAATGATTTAAAGATAGCCAGCTATTTCAAAATCTCTTCGCCCCACTACTTTGAGATTGACTTTTCAAAACTATCACTATTCCTGCTAACATTTGAAACTGCTCACATAAAAAATTCAACTAAGAAAAACGGAAATTAGAAAATATCGAGAATTTTTATGTGATCTATATCGGCTTCAAGAATGCTTTTTGTTTGAAAACTGCATGCTGGTCTTAATCAGCTAGCAATTGAGCATCTGGGCTAAGGGCATTTCGAATATATCCTTTTCGGGGTGTGGAAATGAATAATGATGGTAATTTCATTAGAAGTTTATTACCACCTGCCATTCCAAGTATGTAGACAATGCATGTTAGGTTTAGCACTTATTTCCCCGAAGTTTACATAAGTATCAGAATGACTTAAAATATCATGAAGTCGGCTCGAAATATCTCGAATTAGAACCAAAATCAAAGTTATAGACTCTATTCGCGCCAACCATTACCATTATATATGGGACCATGCCCATTAGTAGAATTATGCAGAGATAAAAACCTCTCTTACCAAATATTCAGCACATCACGGTGAGGCTAGATAGTATAAAGAAATTTTCAAATGTTCAGCTAATCATCCCTAACAATAAGCTCAGTTGATGTCTCTTCCGCTCACATGCATTTTCAAGTATATCAAATTTGTCAAACATAAAACATTGAAAAATCAGATTAGTCGGTAAAATCAACTAACCATCTCAGCGGAAGTTCCTTCTGATTTTGAAAAGTTCGTAAGCAATCACCTCATAAAACTCTCAATGAAGGAACACTTGCACAAATAGAGGAAAGATTTACTAACTGAAAACGTACTTCAGGGAAATTGAAACTGATGTTTTGCTTGCGTGTACACGAATTGGCGCCGTTTGTTTCATCATTATTTTTAGTCACGACATTCAAACAGCACTTCGGCTTGTACGAGCTCGACTATAACTATTAAGTTTCGTATTTTGTTTGTTTGCGCAAACAGCGTCAATTACATATGTGTTGTGCAGTTAGTGTTGATGCGTTAGGGCAAACAATAATGCTGGAAGTATTCAAATGGTGCTTTATATATTGGCAACAAAATCAAATTTTGGAAGCATTTGATTTCGAAAGGTTTAGTGGGCTTCAGGGGTTGAACAATGAAATCAGGCTCATATGATATAGCAGGTTCAAATGTTGATTTTCGGAGTGTTTCTAGACACTAACTTATATTTTGAATTGTCATATTTTTTTTTTTGTAACGAGAATGTTGCAATTACTGG